TTTCGGGAATTTTTAAAAAAAAAAACATGCAACAATTATCAGTTTTTTTTTTTTTTTTTTTTTTTTTAATTAGCTAATCAGCAAAGATCACACGATGACAGAGAAAAAGTAACGAGAATGCCGCTGGAGTTTTCCATATCAAAACTATTTTCAAAAAAAAAAATACAGAGAAACCTCAAAAAAATTGCTGCTCTCCAAAAAATTCACTATCACACTCAATTTCGCATCCCTAGCGCACTGTTCGTTAGCTAAGTGTCTAGCGCTAATTGGCAGAAGACCGAACGGTAGGCTGCTATTACATGGATGCGAGAAAATTAAGTCAACCAGTCTGACTGGGTGTTAATTGGGCAGCCCAAGAACAGGGAAGGGGATTTCAAACAGTCACATGTGGTACTTGGCCAAACCACACCAATCCCTCTACGATTAATTTCGATGGTAAATTGGTACTGGCATATGCTCGAGCTACTGCCGAATGCATCCGCTTTCCAGTGAGTGCGAATGCGGGAGGGAAAGAGGTGTTGGTTGACTTTGATTTTATTTTTTTGTAACTTATGTGCGTAACACCAAAGACCCAAACAAAACCATGACTTTTACTTCACAACTACATGCAACTGAAAACTAAATAAGCACAAGCTAAAGATGGTCCATGGTTTAAGCTTCAATGTACTACGATAAGGAGCGATGTTACCTCTATAAAACACTGCTTACCTCCTCTTTACTGATTTGGACAGTCTCGAGTTGCATAAGCGCTTCTTTTAATTTTTCTTGCGTGTCACTAAGATTCGACTGCAAATCCAATTTCTCGCGCTCAAGTCGGCTGGCCTAAACCCATTTCAATGACTGGTTCAACGACATCGATTCTAACTTGATACAAAACAATTTTCATCCCTAGCAAGTACGACAAACGAGTAAAAAGTATGGTCACTTCATGCATGCATCAGGCAGATGCGTGTATACAAAAATAGAGGTCTAGGAGAGGCATAACTGTGTCTACTGTTTGTATTCTAGTAACACAAACCTAGCAAAATTTAGTAAAAACGTAAAGGTTACAAACTGTAGGAAAGGAAGAAGAATACAA